CCAGGTACCCCCCAGGACACAGAAATCCTTAGCGGTTTATTGGGAAAGCCCTGCCAAAATGCCCCTTTCTGGTTAGCAGTGCTGCCCACTTGCACCGAGGAGCGGGAAGAGGCTGAGCCGCGACGGCGAGGATGCAAAATGCCAGCACAGCCCTGCCCACATTCATAAAACAAATTCATAATTAATGACTAAATCCTGGCAAAGCCCGTTCAAGGGGCCGTTCAGGTCAGACCTCTCTGCACCCGCGACGCGGCAGCGTGTGGGTGCCGGGGCAGGAGGAGCGGCACCGCGGCTGCGAGGCGGCAGCGCGGGGGAGCCCCACGGACCCACCTTGTTCGGGGTCTCCCCTGCACACCTGGGGCTGGGACAGGAACTGTTTCTGGTGACAAAAGTCATTCGAGTGGTAAAATGCCAAAACTCAGCATTTCATTCTTTTTTTTTCTTTTTTTTTCAATAATCAATTAGTTCTGAAAAGCAGAAAGTCAACTGCAGAGTGTTAAATGTTTATTTTGTATTTTAACCCAGGGAATTTTTGAGCAACACCAGGGTTTCCAGCTTCAGAAAAATGCTCTGCATCAACACGAAGCTCTCAGAGGAAGGCAAAGCAGGAATTATTTACCAGAGATGTCCAGTAGTAGGAGATTCTTCTCTCTCTCTCTTTTTTTTTTTTTTTTTTTTTTTTTTTTAATGGAAAACTGGGGGGAAAAAAAAAAAAAGGAAAAAAAAAAAGAAAAAGGAAAATAGCCAAAAAGTCATGGTCCAGCAAAGCAAATCTGTTTCAATCAGCAAAGGGGCAATCAACTCTTTCATCTAGCAGCTGATTTAAGACAAATGTTTTCCAGCTCTGAGAGTGAAGCTCCGGCCGGATGCGCAGCCTGGGGGGGTTGCAAGGCTGCCCTTGCAAACACCGTGCCCTGAGCTGGGCTTAGACCAGTAAGGGCCAGCGCTGCAAGAAGCTTCCTGCTTCCCATGCAGGGGAGCCAAGGACGGCTGGGTCAGTTGGTCTCAGCCCCAGCAGCCCTCAAGCTTCTCCCTACTCCTCTTGCACCGAGTCAGCTACTGGCTTTTGACTCCAACACGTTTTTGAAAGGCATCCAGATCTCCCAACCTAGGGCACTGCTGAAAGGAAACACATGGTAATAGAATTTCTTGATTAATGCAGGAAATCCCTAACTGCCTAATTGCTTCAGAGCCTCCTAGCAAGAGATGTTGTTCCTCTGTATCCCTGAAATCTGCTACAGGTCACTCTGCGAGCCATGGAGGGTGAGCTGAACTTAGACCTGACCCAGTACTCATAGCCCCTCTGAAACTTGATCAAGCAGGAATTTAGCCCTGTTGCACCAACAGACAGAACCAGTCAGGGATGTTGACTCCTTAACTGCCTGACTTCTCTGCCTCTGCTCATGAGTGGGAGAAACCTTCCTGATCCTGTGGCTCATCCTCACTCCTCTCTGTTGGATTGCAGGTGACAGTGCCCATCTCACTTCCCTGGGCACCTCCGGCACCAAGGCTGCAGAGCCTCAGATGCTGGTGAACCTTGAGGGAATGAGCCCTTCTGGGGAATCGTCCAACGGCCAAGAAGTTCTCTTAGCCAAGAAGGGACATTGAATGATGTCCCAGTTCAAATACCTGGGTCTCCATTCAACACCTGAGCTACTTTCTGGACAAGGGTCCAACACGATGTCTGCTGTCACGGACATCGAGCCAACCAACCCAACAACCCCCATATGGGGGCTCTGCTATGGGTCAGGTGGGTGAGGGCTGTCACCCCTCCTGGGATCAGCATTTTAGGATGTTTCTGCTCACCCCATCAGACTTGGACTTACTATCCTCTGTGGTCAAGGAGCCCTGTGCATCCCTCAGCAGAGCATCTGTGAAGTGATGGAGCACTGGCGGCCAGTGGTGGCCACGGGCCCTCTGCTACCATCGCAACTACTCCAGCTTGGGAGAAGGCACCGTGAGTGCAGCTGCCAATATTTAACTAGTCACAAAGATGTTATTACAAACCAGCTGTAAAGTGAGGTTCACCTCAAAACAGCAGCAGAGCTCAAGTGCTGCACCAGCTGCAATAAAGAGCTAATCTGCCCAGACTTTGAACTTCTCCAAGGGTGAAAGAACAGGTAGTGTTAAAAAAAAAATACAACAACTAATAATACTAAAACAAAATTTGAAAAAAAAAAAAAAAAAAAGAAACTAAAATGCTCCAGCAGATAAGAACCTTACCTGCTCCCTTTCGCCCAGACCAGCCACCAAGCCCCGAGGGACATCCCAAGGGCGAGCCCTGGGTGAGGAGGAGGATGCAGGTGGGAAGGAGGCAATGAAGGGTACGGGCCGAGCCCCGTGGGTGCGTCCACAGGATGAGCAGTTTGGAGACAGGCACAGGCAGCCACCGCTCTCCTCCCGCAGCCCCGGGAATGTGCAGGGACACCCGGCAGGCCTGTGCACTTAACAGTACCAGCCCGGATGACGCCGACACCGCACAAGGACACAGGTCTCCTCCTCCCCCTGGCCATGCACCACTGACCTTTGAGCCCCGAAATAAACGGCCATAAAAATCAGCCAAAGTTCGTTACGCCCCACGCAGTGCCATGCACATCGGAGGGAGCGGGGAGCACCCCGACAGGAAAAGCTCCATCTGCGGGGACAAGGACACCACGGCTGGATGAAGCCCTCCTGGCCTGCAACAGCCCCACAGGGAGGCCAGGGGAGCAGCTGGCCCCAGGACCAGTTTACCAATGTCATCCCTCAAGGACACCTTCCCACATTGGCCACAGAGCCTGGATTTTACACACAGCCCATGTGGGCTGTGAGAGGATAAGCTGGGACATGGAGATGTCTCCAGGATGAAAAGCTGCATCTCCCCTCCACAGGGACCCTGAGGTACATCCTCTCTGTCACTGTCCATTCACCCTCAGCCCATCTCTCATGAGGGTCATACTGGGGCACCATTGAGCCCTGACACTGGGCTCAGCAGCCCTGGCCCATTTCTGGTCCTGCCCAAACACCTGGCACCAGGACCTCAGTGCAGAGCAGGCTCCAAGGCTGCTGCTGCCCCTTCACAAGTTTCTGTTCACTCACTTTCCACCAAAGCATGGAAGCTGGGTGACTTCAGGTGCTCAACCAGCCAAGGCAAGGGGTCAACACGTTCCTGAACAGCGGTGGAAAGGCATTTAGCACCTCTGGAGGGAAACCAAGCCCCTTGAATACCTCCCTCATTCCCTTCCCAGCTGAAACAGCAGGAATTTTACCTCTAAAACATTACCTCTCAGAGGTCCTCAACCCATGATCAAATACACACAGGTTGAGCTGCACGGTTACACATGGAGCCAGGCAAACCAAAGGCCCCTCAGGGTGCAGCCATAGGAGCCCATGGCTCTTGGGGCAGCAAAGGAGCACAGCAGAAGTGGGTGCTCCTCCAGATCTCTCGTGAAGGCAGTGGACAACCCAGCACCGACCGGGTTGTCAGAGAGCAACCTCCCACCACGCAAGGACAGGTCATGGCAATGGCAGCAGCTCAGTGACCAGCGAGTCCAAATGCCCTGCACTCTGCACACAGGGACCCTTGCCCACAACCTTCCTAATCCCACCCGTGGCACAGTCACTAAGATGCACAAGAATGCACTTACTGGGGCATGAAGGGGAGAAAAAAACCTAGAAATATCAAGGACTCATTTGTTATTATGCCACGGCGCAATGAACTGAGCCCTTGTTTCTTACCGGTATAACAAAGCCTTTCACAAAGCACAAGAGCTTTGCCCAGTACATTCTTTAAAAGATGTCAAGAGCAGAGCTGCCGGCGAGCTGGTGAGCAGTTGGAAAAAAAGTAACAACAATACAGCTAACATTATTCAGAGAATGCTCATGTTTCATCTGTAAATGCTTTTTCTTTTTATTTAATAAAAATAATCATCCATTATAGCAATTTCCTTTTTTTTTTTTTTTTTTTTTTTTTTTTTGTCATCAGTAAAGCACAGCTTATTTGCTTTCCCCACCTCTTGAGGAATCAGTTCTGGAAACGTAAGTGAATGTAAACATTGCTCTCCAGGTCCCAAAATACACCCAGGAACCCTTGGAGTTACTTACACAGTCCAAAGAGAGAGCAAAATCAACAAAACACTTGCAAAAGTAAAAAGGAATTATTTTTTCTACGTCTCTTCCTGTGCTCTGTACAACTCCTGTATATCGACAAATTCACTTTATACAAGAGGCTTCAATAAACTTTGCTTTTCCAAACAACTTCTGTGATTTGTGGGTATTCAATAAAGCTATTGTCATAACATTAAAATGCTTCCCCACTCATTTATTGTAACATACAAACCAAGTTTTCCCTCGTTCTTCTTTTCCTTCTCCAGAGACTTACTCATGGCACAGGGATGTTGCATTTGTTCTGTTGTGGTCCAGGGGTATTTTTGTTTGGTTTTTTTGTGTGTGTTTTTGTAGCAGATCAAGCTGAAAGATGTTTCAGGAAAGGAGTGTAAGAGCAGCATTAACCCTTGCTCTCCTGCTCCAGTCTCATAATATTTACATATATCTTTAAAAGAAAAAAAATAGTGAACTATAAAATACTAGGAAACCTGTGCAGCAAGTTTCCCATTTCGGAGTTTTGCCCTGTATAAGGCTGCACGAGGGAGGCTTCAGGATCTCCAGCAAAAGCTGAGAGTGGCAGATTGAAGACTCGCCCCTCGGCACGCAGCTCGGAAAGGGGAGACACCGCCGGAGCGCGGATGTTGGAAATCAAGGCAAACCAGGTGACGTGGTACGTGCCCTGACACGTTACCTGCGTACAGAGGGAGGAGGGTGATCCCTGAGCCCGTTGGGGGCTGCAGGAAGGGGAACGGGAGCCGGGATCGACCCGCGGAGCTCGGAGCTGCCGCCACCGGCCCTGGCCCATCGCGACTCCGCACAAGCCGCCCGTCCATTCCAGCTTGGGGAACTTGGGGTTATCTCAGCTCTGCTTTATCACAGGCAATGCAAAAAAATAAGCAGAATCAGGCAGGATGGATATAAAAAATAAAAACATATCACGTGGCCTGTGAGTCGAAGATTTACAGCCAAAAAAACAACAGGGCATTTGAAATACTAGTAATGTTCTCACACTGTCAGGCAGGGCGAACGACCTCACTGTTTGGCTGGGAGAGGGCAGGAGGAGGAGGAAGGAGAACTTTTAAAATGGCCAAGATTGCTAAAGCACCCACAGTTTCAGAGCTACCTCCTTAGAAAAATTAAGACATTCAGATTTGGGGATACAATTCTGTATTTTACAAGGGGCTTAAAATTAGTTACACATCCAGAAAATAATAATTAAAAAAATACACGGCAACATAAAAAAGCCAACACCTTCGAGGTGGTTTCCTCCCTCTCCGTTGTTCATCTCGCTGAGCTGCACGTCACTCATTTTGTCTCTAAAGAGTCAAACTGAGCAGTCACAAAAATATCCACAGAGAGACTCTGGCTAAAGAAAACAAACAAACAAACCAAAACCTAACAAAATAACCCAGCAAGTCAAAAGCCATCCTCCCTGGCAAGCCGAGTGGCACGGCTCCAACTTCCACTTGCCTGCTGCTCCTCGCCGCTGCTGCCCGGCGTTTCGGCCGCCTCATCTCGGGTCTGAACGGCTTCCAGCTTGCCAGCTGAAGGAAACTATCCCATGCGAGCACAGCTCGAGAGACACATGCCTTAGTCTCCTGCGCAGTCTGGAATCATTTAGTCCTGCTGGTAGCGGAGAGTTCCTCAAACGATCCTCTTCCTCTCTATCCTGCAGAGGATCCTTTTGAACGCCCGTCTGAAGTCGTGGTTGAAAATGGTGTAGATGACAGGGTTCAAGGAGCTGTTGCAGTAACCGAACCAGAAGAAGAACTTGAAGAGGGTGGTGGGCACAGAGCAGCTCTTGCAGACGGCTGTCAGTGTGTAGGTGAAGAAGAAGGGGAACCAGCAGATGACAAAGACCCCAATGACCACCGCCAACACAAAGGTAAAGCGCTTCTCCCGGTTCTGCCTGCCCCTCCACCGGGACCCTTTCGTGTTCCTCTCCTCCTCTGCCTTCCTGGGCAAACTGTCCCCAGGCTTAACCTGGCTCAATTTAGTCTTGGCCTTGCCCCTCGACGGTTTGTCAGAGTTCTTACACTGGTTGTTCTCCTGGTGCTCAGAGGAGGAGGTCTCCTCCATGTCTATGCCGTTGGCCTCTCCCTCCTGCCCACCGCTGCCTCCCGCGGCCTTCTCCCCGTTGAGCTGGGCCGTGGCTGGCAGGTCCTCCTTGTCAGCCAGGCCATTCTGCTTCTTCTCAGGGCACTCTGCTCGCCGGCTCGGCGGCACTCTGGTCCGCCTCTTGGCTATCTGGTAGATGCGCATGTACACCAGGATCATGATGAGGCAGGGGGCGAAGAAGGAGCCGATGCAGGAGGAGATGATGTACCACTTCTCTTCGTTGATCTTGCACTCTGCCCCTCCCTGGTCGGCCTGCTGCCCGCTCTTCTCAATAGAGATGAGCGGTGGGAAGGAGATGACAGCCGAGATGATCCAGACGATAAAAATAATGCACTTGATGCGGCGCGGGGTACGCTTGAGGTTGTACTCGATGGCTTGTGTGATGGACCAGTAGCGGTCCAGGCTGATGGCACACAGGTGCACAATGGAGGAGGTGCAGAAGAGGACATCCAAGGCCCGGTAGATCTCACACCAGACCTTGCCAAAGTACCAGTATCCCATGACCTCATTTGCCAGGGAGAAGGGAATGACCAGCGTGGCCACGAGGATGTCAGCCGAGGCCAAGGAGACCAGGAAAAGGTTCTGGGGGGCTTTGAGCGCCCGGCTGGTGAAGACAGCGATGATGACGAGGACGTTGCCGAACACTGTGAAGAGCATGAGCAAGCCCGCGAGGCTGATGAGCGTCACGGTGGTGTGCAGCGGGTACGGCGTGTCCAGCCCGGCGCCGCTCCCGTTGAAGGTGCCGTTGGCGCCGGGCGGCGGGAAGCCCTCGTCGTGCTCCAGCTGCCGCTGGTACTGCATGGAGGGCAGCAAGTGGCCCCGCTCCGTGAACGGCCGCTCCAGGTTAAACATGAACGCGGGCTGCGCGGCCGCCCGCGCCCTGCGCTGCGCTGCGCGCCCCGCCGCGCTCCTGCGCGC